CACGTAGAAAACGAGCCCATGCCTTTATGCACGTAGGGCACGTGGACCGATTTTCGTGCGACGAAAGGGAAACCGTTGTTGCACGCAGCTCACCCCTCGACGCGTGGCTCTTGTATACCCATCGCCAGGACAGATGGTGCGAGGGGTGGGTTGGGCGCAGGAAGAGCATTGCGGATGGGAGCCGGCGTTGTTCATTTTCGTGGGGGGTGAGCGTGGCACGCGCTATACGCGCGGATTAGCCCCCGGGAAATCGATTTCAGTCGAGCTCGGACGCGATGATCTCTCTCTCTCTCTCTCTCCCTTTCCTGCGTTGGGTTTGGGAAAATTCGACGCGACGACGAGAGTGTCGGCCGGGGGCGGAGTCTATTCAAATTTACTCGGCACAATGCGCCGTACGGTCGTGGGTGTACATTTGTATTCACGAAATTTCGACGAGGAAGAAGAGGTGGGCCCCGCGTGCCATTTGTCGGTCCCGATGCATAATATGCATGCACCGTTTGGGACTGTTTAATACTTTGGGCTTTTGTGTGTATGTGCTTATACAAGTATCGTATACGGTACAGGGAGGGTGAGTCGGCGATCCGATTTTCATGACATTTCATGCCGACTCGGAGTGAAAAAAATAATGCTCCGGGAATGAAATCAGTGGGCTTTTCTTTGCGTCAAAAGTGCCAATCGCATTAGTCATCATCCAGTCCCGTGTGTATGGCTTTTGAAAAAAAAAAAAACACTCCTGGCGTACCGATATCACATCTCGTGCTCTTTATGGTACTCGACGAGTCACGAGATGCTGGTGTCGCTCCATACAACTGCACATTCGTGTGTGTGTGTTGTGCATTCGAGAGCCCTTCAATGCACACGCGCTCGTGTAATAATAATAGTCTGAGCAAAGAGGTACTGTGCACGTTAGAATAACAATTTTTCTTTTTTTTTTTTTTTTTTTTTGGGGCGTCTCGACGTCTGATACTCTTCCCTTGGTTTAACGAGGATGGGCTTTCGTGTGTATATATGTGTGAACGACGATGACAAGGCCGATAATGACGATAATAAATGCGGATGACGGTCGACGAGACGACTCGAGAAAAGAGAGAATATAGCGCCCTTGTCCCGGCTTATTAGGCGTTCGCTTGCATATTTCGTGTCCCCCTTCCCCCCCCCCAAGTCGGAGGATGTACAACAGACAATTATTGATATTTGGTAAATGTCGTTTAAATAACTATGATGGCATTCCGAAAATTTCACAGTCGTGCTTTGTAAATTTGTCGCTCTCGAGTCATTGACCAAAAGGAAACAGGAGAGAAAAAAAAAAAAAAAAAAAGAAAAAAGAAAAGAAAGAAGGAATCCCAAACGCGGAGTAGTAGGTACTGTCACTCAGGCGTGAAAGGAAGAGAGCGAAGAAAAGGCGGCCGTCCCGCCACCCAAGCGCATGATCGGCTGCGCTCGCACTTGGCCTCCACACTTGTACAACTTTGAAGCTCCAAAGGGAGAGAGAACCAACCGAGCAAAAGGCCAGAGAGCGCGGCCGATCGGAAATCTCGTGTCCCTCGGTTCGATCGTCGGCGTAATGAGGATCAGCTTCTCTCGCGAGTGCATACCAGTCGAGGAAGAAGGGGGGAAAGAAAAAAAAAAAAAAAAAGTAAAAAAGGGTAGAGAGAGAAAGAGAGAAAGATTCACGAGTGAGGGGGGTAATTATTTGCCGATCACGGCGAGAGCACTCGCGGAGAGTGATGGAGAGCGCTAAAGAGGCGGTGGGTATGTATAGGGTGGCTGGGGAAGGGGGGAGAGGAGATCACGCGCAGTGCCATCGGAGAGGAGAGAGCGTCAACCGGAGACTCTGCTTTTAATCCGATCCTATCGCTCGGACTCCTCCGACACGGATATATATATGTGTATATAATATGTGTGTGTGTGTGTGCGAGTACGTGTGTGAGAGAGAGGCTAACGCGCCATCGATAACCGAATATCGCAGCTCGTAAATCAGCCCCCCTCCCCCCTCCCTGGACGCTGTATCCTGATCTTTGCTTTATTTTTGGCACTCGCGCTCTCTGAGAGCTTTCTTGCTCTCTATATTTTCTCCCTTCGAGCGTCTCTCTCTCTCTCTTTGTCTCACGCTCGTTTAAAGGGAGAACGATCTCCCTTTCCCCCCCGCCCCTTTAATTCGTTAAAGGTCGGAAGAGTTGCGCTTGCTCTTTTAAATTACATTTCCAAAGAGAGACTTTTCAAAGTACGATCAAAGGGCAGCTTCGTGTGATTTCATTTGGGTCCAAAAGTATATGAAGAAGAGGAAGAAACTAGCCCAGATTTTTTTGCCTGCGATCGAAATTTAAAGATCAATGGTTCTGTAACATTTACTCTGAAGATAGAGGCAAGGATTAATCCCAAAGAGATGCGTTTAAAAAATATTCGTATAGGCATGATACGTATTTTGACGGAAATAAAGTAGATAAAGTAAAAAAAAAATTCTTCGCTCTTGATAAATCCAAACGAAAAGTCAACGAGTGACAATTTTCTGGAAAAAGTTTGTTTAGCTTGGAAGCTCTGTAAGTAACACTCCCGTGGATACGTCAGGGATGCATCAGTAGATCGATCTCTTTCCCCCGTCTCACTGGGAAAATACAGCGAGGGTGTTTTTCTGGAGTTTCTGCGAAATGCGCGAGAAATCTTTGCAGAACCGAACCGTAAAGTTGATGTCACGTCCCGACGTAAATCCACTCTGGCGTGTGTTTTTCAAAAAAAAAAAAAAAAAAAAAAAAAAAAAAAAAAAAAAAAAAAAAAACGCTCGGGAAACGAGGTTTCTGTTAAACTGACAAAGGTAGAATTGAGCCTGTATATTTATTTTCCACCCCCCCCCCCTTTTTTCCGGCGTCAGGAGAAGGGTGGATTATGAAAACACAGAGCACTAATGACATCCGTTAAGTTGAGGGCGCCTCGTTTTCGTAATGGATTTTTTTTCTTCTTTTGGGTCGCCGAAAGCGCGCGTTGGATTTTACGAGGCGAGGCGAGATCGTTGGATTTTATTGAAATAGGTTACCACTCGCGTTTATATCAAACTGCTTTTATTGATTCTTTTCTTGGTGATTAGCCTTTTTTTGGGGGGGGGGGGTAGAAAGGGAGGTAAAGATTAAGAGCGCGTTTATATAATGAGTCTTGGTAAACAAAACCGAGTCAAGGCTATACACACCGCGCGTTAAGAAAACCGTAATGGGAAGTGAAAGTAAAAAAGAAGGAGGGAAACAGGGGAGCCAAGTTGCAAGGTAAAATTATTCTATAAGACAGCGTAAACAGCGTTTAACGATACGTATATACATGTGAGCGCTCGTGCGTGTACTGGTATACCACGAAAAAATGTTTTCGTAAATTTGACGTGGTGTAATTCTCTGCGTGCAATTAACCTCCATCAAATAATTAGGACAGGTAAAAGTTGGCCTCTCGATTTTTTCTCCTGCGCGATCGTATATGACTACATTCTTTTAATTTAAAGGTAATAAACGATGTGATTGCTCGCGTTCGTAACACGTGAGAAAATTTCTTTCTTCCAATAAAATAAGTGCGTATTATTGTTTGGTAAGTTTTTTTTTCGTGATACAAATACAACCCTCTAAAAACCTTGGGAATAACCATTGCAGCGTACCTAAATTTGACTTACTACAGAATTCATGACCAAATTTTTACTGATTCAGTTTTAAAGATCATATAATGGTGGATTTTTTCAAAACCACGCTAACTTGTATCTTTATCTCAATTTAATGCTCTAGACGTCGAACAAGGAAAAAAAAAATTCGAAAGTGACACATCTTAATCGAAAATCCAGTCTTTGAAAAATCCCGAACACGAGAGCCAAGCGTACATGTATATGAACGTCAAAAATAAAAAGCGTAACGCGAAATATCAAAACCCTGACGTGGAACATCTCAGGGGTTGCTCGCGAAAACTATTGTTATCTCGATAAATCAAGCAAGTTACGAGCATATCGGCAACGTTACGGCTGCATCGTTCTCCAATTTATGAATTTATCCGAAAGCCAGAGAAAGAGAGAGAGAGAAAGAGAGAGTCATATAAGGGCTCCGATCCCGCTGTTCACCTCGTCCCCCCTTTTTTTCCTCTCATCGTCATTAACGTTGCCCCCGTGGCGTTTCTGCGAAGCTGACTCCAAACTCTCCTCTCTCGAAAAAAATAAAAGGACGTTTTGCTCACGAGAGGCTCGCTCGGTACCCCAATAAATATGAAAACAACAAGCAAAGAGCGAAATATCGGGGGTATAAGGATTCGAATTAGCCACCAACCTGTTTCTCCTCCTTCTCCTCCCAGCCCCCCACAACTTCTCTTCCCCCTCTTACTTTCTCTCTAAAACTCTTCCTTTCTTTCTCGCATCTTACTCTTATGTATATACATACGTGATCTCTTTTTTTAGCTCTTTGCGAACCAAGCGGTATTGTGTTATTTGGGCTCCCCTCCCCCCCCCCCTCCTACTGCAGTCGTAGATCAAGCTTTTGTACAGCACTATAAGCGTTTCCTTTTATCTGACATTATTTACTTTGATCCCAATCGAAGGTCATGTTTAGTTGTAGTCTTGGTACATTTTCCAAATTAAAAGAAAAAAAATCCCACGTTAATAGCCCCCCTTTACCCCCCTCCAGAAAAAGAAGAATCCTGAATCACGCAGCGATAAAAGTTGAGTCGCGCTCGCGTGTGTGTGTGCGTGGGTAACGCGCTGAAATCGCTCGATTTACCTCAAACACGCAGAGCAAGCCAAGGGGCTCCCACTGCGCGTTCACTCCCTCCGTATGTAGGTCCATACACTGCTCCCTCATTGTTCCCCGTTTTTTTTTTCCACAGCCCCGCTCTTCTTTCCCATATGTATTACGTATACGCGCACTCACACACATATATTTAAGCAACACAAAAAGAGAAGGAGAAAACTCCCCCCATCGAGAAGGGGGGGGATGTACAAGTATCGAGGGAGAGACTAAAATTTGGTCTTTTTCATTGTGTGTTTTCAGTGCTGGCAGCACTGCGAGCTCCTCGAGAAGAAGTTCAACAGCGCCGGCGATTGGGAGTCCGTGCAACAGGCGGTCACCGACAGCTACTCCGACTGCAACGACAGCAAGTACAAGCAGGTAAAAATAAATTATCATCATCGTCATCCTCCTCCTCGGCATTTCTATTTACTGCATTGTGCTCTTGTTATTTTTGGGTTGAAGGAGGGGGGGGGGCGACCTTTTCACGTGCACGGCTTTTTTTTCTTCGATGAGGGGCTTTCGTTTTTTTTTTCTTTTTTTTTCTGACATATACATACGATACGTACGTACATTATATCCACTCCACGAGTTCGAAGGGATAATTTTTTTCTTCGAAAAATTAATATTCGATCGCGAGTATTTTTGAGACATTTCGATTCTCCATTAGGTGTTATCTTTTTTTTTCCATCAAATTTATAAACCGTTGTAATAATGGCATACGTTCTAAACGATACAAGATTATCCCATGGAACAAAAAAGAGACTGCGATCACCACAGACGACCAACAGACACATAAATGTGTATTAGGATGTATATGCAAATGAGTGAAAAACGATGCAACGAAAAAGGGAGGAAGGGAGGGAGACCTCGAATTAGACTTAATAGCCTGGCATTTGAGTTATTACAGCGTTTGGCATGAAAATTCCACGGAACCATCCGCGGCACGAAAAGAATCTCGAACCCTTTCGTTGTTTTGCTCCTCTTCATTCTTGCTTGATTCCCCATCGTCGTCATAACACGCGTCGTTTGCTAATTCCTCATGCAAAAAACGCGATGCGTTTAACAAGGGAGAAATGGATACACGCGTTTTATGGGAAGGAACGTATAATTAATCGCGTGCATGAGATAAAGCAAGAAGAGAGGCCAAACGAACAAAGTTGGGGCGGGAAGCCCGTCGTGCATTAATTACGCATTAAAAAAAAAAAAAAAAAAAAACTCGCTGCAGTCCCTCACCTCCTTTTTTTTCTTCGTCTTGGGCTTTTATGAATTATATCGGTGGCCCAACGAAATTTAAATTTTTTTCCGCAGCCTCTCCCGTAGCTTGTATACACGTGTGGTGTGTACCGATTTTTCTTCCACGCGAGCTTCCTATATCTCGAGGGATACCGAGGATTTATATTTCGCTTAATCGGGACCAGAAAAAATATGTTTAGACCATGCCTGATTCATGCGCTTCGCGGCGACAACCTCGTATCGGCCAATTAATTCTTCGAGAAACGTGAGATTAATTTTTTCCAAGGCACCCGCGCTGCTGATGATCGACCCACGGGAAAAATAAATATCATTCCACGTGGTATAAAATTACCGATCTCCAACCGATCCGTCAAAGAAAAAAGAGCTATACGCTTCTCATACCTCCGTCACACTCGGTACAATTTCGACGCCGATATATATGGCCGGCAGCTTGTAATCGCAAGCCACGAACACGGTATGGTCACCCCATGAGCTCGGCCTAATCCTCGGAGCCAGCCGGCTACTCGCTTTTGCGATCAGGTGTGCAATCCGATCGGTAAGCGCATCTATCGGACTTGCTCTCTCTCTCTCTCTCTCTTCCACCCGTCCCTCACTCCTCTCGTTCCCCCTTTTTTTTTTGTCCTCTACTCGAGTTACTGACCCCTTTTTTACTCCACACTCGATCCCCTGTCCTTCTTTGTGTCCCTCGTGCACGGCAGAGGAACGAAAGGGGAGGAGGGGTTGATTCGAAAGATCGCCAGCCGCAAATTCAGCGAGGGAATTCGGGTATTCATAAAAAGATGCAGTGGATTGGGTATTTTTTGTTATTATTTTCAAGGGTTTCCTTTTCTTTTTTCTTTTTTTTTTTTTCATTGCGGTGAGCTTTGGAAGGGTTGCCAGAGACAAGATCGTAATAGAAATAGCTCGCCATTCAGTGGCGCCTGGGATTGAATTTTTCCAAGAATGAGTTTGGTTTCTTTTTTCCTGGAGTTACTCCAAATGGATGCACTTATATGTTCCTCGGGTGTATTGAATGATCGCTGCTCGTTACTCGAATTTCAGAGATGACTCGTAAAGATTAAATTTGAGAGACTATAAGGACGAATAAGTGTCTCTTTTTTTTTTTTTTTCGAATATTACCATTACCATCAATTAACATAGACAAGTCGCCGATCGTTAACTAAAACCACAAGGGTCTTGCTCGTACCGCGTCCAGCGCGATACATCATTCGGTTATCTTGATTTAATTTGGATGAAAATTCAAGCAATACATTAGACGTCAACCGTACACATACGAGGACATTAAAATGCGCGTTTGGCTACGTTATCGCGATCATTCATCGGTTTTCGAAATCCGATTTCCCGATTTCCCAGAACCCCCGAGTTCTCAGCGTGTGCGTCTGTCTCTTTAATACGATCTTGAGACAATAATCAGATGGACTCTTCTTTTCTATCCTTGGGAGAGAAAAAAGGGGGGATACGGCCCCCGAACTGTCGAGGCTCGTTTACCGGAGCAGCGCTCAAAAAATCGGCGTAGCGCGAGAAAATCGTTCCCTGGGCTCCCACGACGAGCACACAAACACACGAGCAGTGGTGGTCACACAAAAGGACGTGGATGAGAAAGAGAGAAAAAAGCGGGAAGAGAAGAGGCGCGTCTCAATTCGGCGATCCATCTTGTGGAAGAGCGCCCTTCTCGGGCCCTCCGACCGAGCGTGCCTCGTCTCTCTCTCTCTCTCTACGCGGTGTGCAATAGGAGACGATGAGAATGAGGGAAGGGAGAAAATTCCTCCTGTGAAAGAGGGAAAAAAAGGGACAAATAGAGGGAAAGCTGCGCAGCATAACTGCTGGGCTACCTGTCGATTTTCACGGAACGCCGAACAGAAGCCCGTGTGGCTGCTTAGAGGGCCCGAATTTCGGTCGCCGAGGACGAGAGAAAAGGAAAGACGAAGCGCTAGACTAAACAAGCGGCGGAGCGCTCGTCGTCCACGTCAGCAACGTTTTTATTATTATTATATTTTTTTTCGTCGTCTATTTCTGTCCTCTTCATCTTTTCGGGGCCCGTACGCTCGCGTTAGGGTCCCTTCGTCTTTTCTCTCTCGCTGTCTCTCTAGACTCGATACTGATCTTCCCTCCGAGTCCACGTTACTTTTCCCCGAACGATGTAACGGAGGCTTATTCTGATGGTTCTCGTGTACGTGCAAGTGAGCGCATGGCAGTCTTTCGTTGCGCCTGCGTTGAAGGACCTAATGTTCTTGCACAATAAGCACAGCGAGGATTGATGTACGGGAGAAAATTTATCGGGAAAAAATCTCGGGCATTGTCGGGTAATTACGGGCGTGGAGGTTAGCACGTGCCTACAATATAATGTTCAGCTGATTTTTAAAGGGGCGAGGTGCGTGTGATGATGGATGTCACGCTCGGTTTGGGGGCCGTTTGAAAGAAAGATTTGGCGACTAAGTATACACGCACTGTTCGATAGTCCTGCGAGTTTGGAGAAATTTGAGCGTGAAATGATTGGAGGGTTTTTGATCGATGACGTCGTTACCAACGCGGATACTAAATCTTTGTTGGAGGGTACGTTCTTCTGCGCGAGACATGAGTATTCTAAGATAATTAATCAAGATTGGAGCATCTGTCGAGCAAATTTTGAACAAGTGCAATTCGTTCGAGTTGAAAAGCAAAAATTCCGCAGTTTTATATTTTTATACCGTAAATCAGAATCTGCGAATTCGCTCCGTGTTTGTCTACCTTGTCTACCTTGCCCAAAAAAAAAGAAGGAAAAGAAAATGAGATAAAAAAAAAAAAAGACGCGAAGCAACGGCAGCAAAAGTAGCCTGCCATCTCGTACAATGCACGCACTCACGCACACGCACAAAAAAAATACATGCCAGCAGCAACAGTGCGATGGTCTCCCTCTTTCTCTTTTGAGATGAACAAACACCCAGAGAACGAGAACCGAGAGAGAACGAGCAAAGACGTAGAAAAAAAAGAAGAAGCAAAGCTCTCTCTCTCTCTTAGGCCTTCTCTGCTTGCCTCTTATTCTCATATGAGCGCGCCTTGGGACGAAGAAAAGAGGCTCGTTGTTCGCCCGCTCGTTCGTTTTCTCTTCCCTCGCTCGTCCTACTGCAAGTAGGTATGGTCTTCGATAAGGATCTCTCCCGCTTCTCAAATATTTAGGAGCGAGTCTCTCTCTTGCGACGTGCACACGTGCGTAAATGCCGCGATTTTAGACGTGATGAGAAATTAAGCGTAAAAATGTAAAAACGAAAAGACGAGGAAGAGAGAAAACTTTCAAATTTGGCTGGATCCTAACTTAGCTAACCGTATTTTGTTTGTTTTTAATGGTACTTGTTTATAACAATAGAAAAAATCAAGAAGCCCATCGTTGCCGTCCATGCCAAGACATAAGTACCATTTGCCAAACTTTCTGAATCGGCGAAACTTCTTGGACTCGTTAATTAGCCAAGAATGCACTTTCTGGGAGATGAAGCAGTCCGTAAAAATTCGTCATGAACGGAACTTCTTGAAAAATTAGCCGCACGTGGACCCCTCAACTTTTTTTTTGCTCTCGCACGTGCGTGCTTGTACGGCGTCTGCCTTTTTTACGGTACATAAAGAGAATTCTGGCAACCACTTCACTTGCTTTTAGTGGCCGATAGATATCATCCGTACTAATTATTTACTTACGACCTAAATAAGTTATCCCTCGCTTCTTTTGCGCGAGAGCCGCGCTCTCGAGTCACGCCAGAGAATGTTTTTTTTTTTTTTTTTTTTTTTTTTTTTACGCATACCACGCCAAACTGAGGAAATAAAATTGCTCAATTTATTCGACGATATCTTACGGGCGTCGATCGAAAGTGCATTAAGCAAATTTTTCAACGCCAACGCTTTTTAAGACCCGCTACATGATAAAGAGGTCCTTAATTTCGCATCATTGGTCGTATCCGACGTGGCGGGTAAATAATTGTCGCACCTAAAGAAATTCCCTTCTCCGTTTTGAATTTTCCAAATGTTTACGATTGAAAGAGGGGTCAGATGTTTTTCAACGAATTTACCGGGTGCATCGCAAGCTAGAAGCAAAAACTCTCGAATCCTACAGGCACGTTATAAAAATACACACAAGCGTTCTAAAACGCTTCCCACTTGACACGACTATACTGCAAACAAGCGAAAAAAAAAAAAAAAAAAAAAAAAAAAAAAAAAAAAAAGACATTTTCCCGTCTTGACAGCCACGCAACACTAGACAGTCACGCTCATTAATCCAACTGACCAGCAAATTCCCATCAACAAAAAACACCACCCAACTCCTTGTCCACTCGCTCACTGAAACAAATAGCCCTGACTCACCAAATTACCCTCTATATCTCAAAGTCACTCGCGCTCTCTACATCTTTCAAGGGTCTCCTAAAAAAATAAAAAATAATAATAATGATAAAACTTGGTGCAAACAGGCAACTAACCCTCGAAACGGTACATGTTTTCTCTCTGCCAACAGTGCCCATCCTGCAAGACGGCCTGCGATTACTGGAAGTTCCAAGTGGTCGAGGAGTACTTGCCGTCGATGCTGCCAGCCCCGAGGCGAGCGCCCATCAGCCTCGACAAGACGGACGTGGCCATCATCATGCACAAGACGAACAAGCAGTGGCGTCTCTTTGGCTACTACCCGGGTGAACGGGCCCCCAGCACCCTGCGCAGCAACGAGTGGCTGCTCGCCGTATCCACCGACAACGTCGTGTCCCACTACAGCTGGGAGGAATGGTACCCGAGCCTCGACGCCCTCAAACCCGGGCCCCTCTACGAGGCCACCATATCCTGGCGCGACATAGCCACCCAACTGAAGCGCCAGCAGGCCCTCGAGCAGAAGCGCTTCAACGACCGGGTGAGGCAGTACTTCCTCGAGCGCTACGGGGAAAAAGTGCTGGAGCGCAGGAACCAGGATGAGGAGCAGGAGATACCGGAAGAGGTGTTCAGGCGCTTCTTCTTCCGTAGGAGCGAGCCAGAACCTATCGGCCACGGGACGATCGACGAGTTCTCCGAGCCCGCCACCATGAACTCCGAGGACGAAGACAGACACGGCCAGGTGGCCGAGGAATCGTTCGTCGTCTCCTGGGAACCGGAGACCGGTGGCTTGATGGGCAACCAGGTGGCCGACTCCAACTTAGCCCAGATTAGTCTCCTGCCCGGGGTCAAGTATTGGGTGAGGATCGCGTCCAACGAAGGCCCCGGCAGCTTTCCCATCGAGGTGGACACGAGCTCGGGTGTCATCAAGATGCACAGGATTAAAAAAAAACTCGACAACGTGTACCCCTGGGCCTTTCTCGCAGCGGCGCTGAGCGCGGCCATCGTCATCTGCATCATCGTCATTGTCAAACTGTGCAAGAGGAGTAGCACCAAGACCGTCCAGCCCGAGGAGGAGGTATGATGGAGATGAGAGTGCCAGCGGAAGCAGAAGCGGATTATTATCGTCGCTGCGACTGCTGCTGTTGTTCTCGTTTTCCTCGGGGCTTTGGAAATTAGACGACCCTAAGATGGATCAGGTTCGTGCGCTAGAACGAACGGGTGGCAGGTATGATACATACACACATACATGTACGGAAGAAAGGAAAATTTGGAAAACAGCTGGTGGCAAGAGGAGGAGTGCAGGACGACGACGGACACTCTGCTAAGTGATAATGGTGATTCAGCGCTCCCCTGCATCGGTCGACAGGCCGAGTTTTTGAGTGATTCGTCATTTGGTGGAGCTCGGATTCTTTTTTTTTTTTTTTTTTTCCAGTGTTTTCTTTTCTTTCTTGTGTCGTTCGAAGATTGGTGCTTCGTTGTAAGTGTATGTGTGTGGAGTATCAGCGTGTTCGCGTAACTCAAAGGGCCAGTCTTATTGTCATTATCGTATGTATACGTAGACCAATGAAGTACGATTCTCTCGAAGCAGAGAATTTATCGAGATTCGACTTGTATCTATATTAGTTGTAAGAGGACGCATAGGATAATCGAAATGTAATTTTTTTTTTTTCGTTTTTTTTCGATGCTATTAGGACAATAGATTCAACAGCATCGGTTGTAAATAGTTGATAGGTATATTTTTTTCATTTACGTAATGATAGCCAATGTATAGGACACGTGTTACAGTTTCACCAAATTGCCATAATGATTCCGAAAGGCGTTTCGCAAGGACTCTCGCGACAAAACTTTTTCTTTTTTTTTTTTTTTTTTAATTTCCAAATTGTGATTACTTTCAATGTCAATTTTGTAATTTACCCTAATATGTTTCAGATTTACGAGGTGCGTCCTTGCGAGATGATTTTATTTTCTCTCATTCTCTGTGCACCACAACTTATATTATATCGCACGCGCACATGTGCACTGATGGAGAGGATTTATAGTATATGAAATAGGGGATTCATCTTTATTTATGTCAATAATAGGACACATTCATTAACATTGTTCTCGCGATCGATCTGTCAAAATTCGTCGTCATTAACTTGCTAAAATGTCGTGGTTACGGATGCATTCCTATGAAATGTAATGAAATACTGCTTTTATCGAAATTCATATCCATCGCGTACAATTGAAATCCTTTCCATCAGCGTTACAATACTCATGATACACATACAGCATAACAAATTGTTCACAGTTAGTTCCGTACTCTGATCAATTTTACTTTGTTTTCTCTGTAACTCCCTTTTTGTATGATACTTTTGTAATTAATAATTATCGACCGTGCGACTTGCTCAAGCTGCAACGAACAGACTGTACGAGAGTTCCTATTGGTAAGGAGAGCGCCAAGCGACTCATATTGACTGGTGTCGCGCGCCAAAACGATTGTATTTATTTGTAAATAGTATGAAAAAAATAAAATAAAATAACATATTGAGTAATGGTAATAATATTAAAAAATTCGAACTCTGTAAAAATCGCTAGACGAATCAATAAAATTTATTATATGTGAATATATAAAGGTGACTCGAGAGATCTTCATTTTTTTCCATCCTCGAACCTTTTCTCCTGTGTGATGTTACCAATGAAACTATTGTCCGACTAATTTATAAAATATACGTTCACCTTCGTTGATCATAAGATTAATGGAAATGATTTATTTTTTCTTCAACGCCAGTTTGTATATCTAGAAAAATTGACGATTCATATAAACTTTTTTTTTTTATAAACTTGAAAACCAATTAAAATTAAATATAAAAGTCAAGACTGAGTTTTTCGTAATCATGCAATATGCCGAAAAAGAAAAAAAAAAAAAAAAATCTTTTCTTACACGAAAACAACAACGAAGATCGCACAAAAGCAGAAAATTAATTTCAGCATTCGGCACGCCTCGAGAAGTGCTGCACGTACCAATGCATGTATATAACAACGGCACAACAAGAACAACGACGGCCGCGAAAAAAGTCCTCCAAAACAATTAGAAAAGCACTCGACGCGCGACCGAGAGCGGCTCCAAGAAAAAACCTGCAAACTCGTTCTGCATAAAGAAGAAATTAGGCTCTCAAGGGATCCGCCAAAAGCGAGACGAAGAAACCAAAGTAAAAAAAGTAAAAAAAGAAAAAAAAAGATAAAAAATACAAGGAAAAAAACAACAAATTACTACATCTTCATGGGAACGGAGAGCGCATTAGCACGTAATAATGCGACGCATTCATCGCTTTCTGTAAGCAAACGTGTATACAAGCCACCTACGTGTCACGCACTGTTCCGCCATGCAATCCGGCCCCTCTCTTTTCTATCCTCTTCCCTTCCGAAACAAAAGTGAGCTAGGGGAAAAAAAAAAAAATTTCGCTCGGGAAAAGTTTATCCGACAGCGTGCATGATATACACCTGCACCCCCGTGAAAATTAGTCCATGCCGTGCCACGGAGCCATACAACCCAGCACGAAGCATTACAGCAGCAAAAAGAAGCGATTCCGGAAGATTTTCCACGAAACTCGGCTCCCTTTTCGGATTTAGTGCCACGACGGCGCACAGCGAGGGACTCGCTCTGGAAAACTCGGGAGCATCAATCTTTTCTTCCTCTTCCCCCCCCCCCCTCCTATTCTTCTCTTCTCGGGTATTATACTCCCTCGACCGAGTGGTCGACCGAGCGTTAGAGAAAATAAAATGTATAATGGCCCCGTGAGTGCGTTGCGTGTGGATGTATTATTCCCTCTCCCATCTGGGATAACCTTAACAACCTCTGCGCCACGAATCCATCTATAACAGGGGATTAAAAATACAAGTATTCCACCCATATTCTTGGGCTTGTAAATCAAAACACCTATTCGTTCGAGCAAGAAACGTCGGATTTTTATTTATTAAACGCGGCTCCTGATATTAATGTTGTTCGAGAGGATAATGCTTGGAAGGTACAGTCAGAGAGGGACGCGAAACGTATACGTCTAGAAAGATTATTTTCTACATTTCATTGACTGAATACAGAGTTCTCAAAATTTTAGAATGAAAAAACCGTTCTTAAGGTGGTCTTTTTCCAAAATTCAAGGTTTTTATAATATATTTCTTGGACACCCAAACCGGGACTATTGGGATTATCGTGTATTTTATTGTCCTTTTTACAAACTACCTACTAGCTTACTGACTTTAATTTGCAAAAAAAATAGTTTCCATGATAAAATATATAAAGTTATTTTAAAAAATTATTTAGATGAGAAAGAAAAACAACCATGGATTATTAAAATCGACAAATGACTAAAAATTTCTTATCACGTAATAATTTCCTTGTGTTATTAAAAAAAAATTTAATTAATTAGATAACATTTTTTTTTTTAATTAATACTTAACGTTATGTGTGTCACGAGCTTTCGCGTCTTCATAAAAAAAAAATTCCAAAAAAATGGTTTTTAATTTGAAATAAACGTACTGTCATAACAAACACTGTACAATAAAGTTTAGCGATTTTTTAAATTGAACATTTTGGATTTTCAATACCCAAACTTATAATATCAGAACCTCATGAATAATATTCGTTACACACATTTGTAGTAAGTAAAATTGAATAAACTAAATTAATTTTTTTTTTTGACGATAAAAAATCCACATGTTTAGCGTTTTTTGCGTTATTTAAATTTACTCTCCTACTGCTTACTTTTTAGAAAGTAAAATTTTTTCATTTAAAAAACATTATTTTTATGAGTTAACAAAATGTTTCAAAATTTTAGCTCTTCTTTTTAAAATAGAATGATAATTTAGCGCAACCAAACAAGGTAATTTTTCCATAAAAGACGAAGAATTATGACATTTAATGCTATTTGCTACAATTTGCAACTTTTAAAAGGCTTCAGAGATAGGTAAAAATTTCAAATTTCACTACGTCAAAATTACCTGACCTACTTATTCTTATTAAATGGTAATTTTTGTGAGAATGTTATTTTTCTTAACATGTGCAATACTTGTTGTTCTTTTCTCTCTTTGTACTATCCTCTTATTTCAATTGAAACTTATTATCCGTTATGCCTCTTCACCTGCTTTATAAACTTATTTTTCATTGTCACTTCTCTTGTACTTAAAAAAAAATTTTTTTTTTAATTTATTACTTCGAGTAATGTAATAACGTTAGTCATTTTACTATTATTCTTCCATCCTCTTGTCTTGGGCCTCTTTTTTAAGAAATTATTGAATCTTTTACTGAACCAACGAAGGTACTCCCATAAATTGTCCAGTTATTTACATGTAAATCAAGTAATTTTCAAATGATCAAACTCTCCATTAACGTCCAGTCTAACACATATGGAAATTTTACGCGTGAGTTATTCATTTTCACTGATTGATACGTGAATACCATTCGAAAAAATCAATCAGCGTAGCTCCATTAATCTTCATTCGCTCTCGTTCGCGTCATCTCCAAACAAAATCGGTCAATCAATAACATATATCTGCTCCGTTTCGAATATCCAATGATTGAAATCTACAACAAAATGTCATATCGATACATCTCCCGTTACACCCTTATCAGGATACTCCCCTCTTAAATACTTCTGTTGCATTTTTTCATTATAAACAATCACTCGTGTCGAAATATGTATTTTTTTAAATTACGCAAGCTTAAAAGTATTAAACAAGAAACATTATACTTACACCTGATCTCGAAACAAAACTTGCACGAAAATCCTCCCAAAACCAACATTGTAGCACAGAGACACTCACCCAAAAACCATCGACGAAAGCCGCTTACACGCGTACGTATACTTGTCCCGCACACAAAAACTTTTCCCGCCCCCAAAATGTCTCACCCAACCTTTATGTATACATGTATACATGCGCCCGTAAGCATCCACACACACACATATATATATAAACGATTGCGCGATCGCATTAGCGTCAATCTCAAGCTTCAGCGGCGCTGACGCGTTGTAATCCTTGCTATGTGCACGCTGAAATACGAGAAATCCCTGTCCCACCCTCCTCGCCCTTGTAAAGCGTTATTTTCCAGCGGAGGAGGTGCGAGGGGGGCCCGGTTTTATTTTTGGTCGTTGCTCCCCGGCTGTACTCGTAACGAACCACGGGTTATTGATGCGAAAGCTCGCGCTCGTAAAGTTGGCTGTCGTAGGTGGTATATCAAAGATCTACTCTCTACCTATGTATACCTAATGAAAGGACGAGCGCGGGCGGGTAGTTTGAGTGCACGCGTCGATTCTTCGGCCAGTGTGGATTTGGCTGCGGTTTTCCGAAGAAGACTCTACAGTTCACCGGAGGGGGGGGGTCTCTATTATTTGCGGTCTATACTCTCTGATATTGCGAAAAACTGATACTTCAAAGTTACAAAAGATATCTATTTTCTTTTAACGAGTGCAAAATAAATTGTGCTAAAATAAAAAAGGAAACGTGTAATCCAAGGGAAAAAGGATGACATACTATCAAATGGAGGTCATCCGTACATTTCATCGTTTCTTAGTACTCTTGTATGGTTTTCATCTATTATTTTACTAAAATGCTTTTTCTTCTAATTCTTGTTCCATAGGATGACATCTCACAAAGAGTTGGATATTCTCTTGAAAATATAATATTCGACTCTTCCATATGACGTTTCCATTGTTTCATCCTGTCCAATAACCCAATAACTTAAAATAAGTAAGAAACCACCAAGTATTTCAAATGTAAAGAGTGTTAGCTGACAATTCCCTTGCAAATCACTACTTATTTGGAGAATCGAATTCTCTCGGAACTCGGTCTGATGTATATAATCTCCGCTAATTAGAGGAAGTGCAGCGCTGATGGATGTAGAGTTTATTCTTGTACATTTGAGAAATAAACGAAAACTGATGAATATTCTCCACGTCCCTTGTGAATAAATGAGCCAAAGCACATTGTCATTTTTTAAGGCCCTCTCGCTTAAAAACCCGAAAGAACCAAGGATCTCTCTTTCGGTTCGGCGGACCATCTGCAAAATCCTCGTTCGAAGAAAACAAATCCCAGAGCCCCCCCGATGTAGCAGTAACCCAGTTACGTTACACCCGACCCCACAGCGTTCCAGTGGAATCCACGCGCGTCTATTTAATACAGTTCAACGACCAGTGCCAAAAACTTTCTTCTTCGTCCTCTCGATTAACTTTCCACGCCCGTCGCGGACCCTCCCAACACTCGAAGAGTAAGAAATAAAAGCGAGAGAGCGAGGCACTGTTCTGATGGCAAGCAAGAAGATGGAAGGCAAGAAACGCGTCGCTAACCCGTGCACCTAAAAATGCTTTTCTCTTTCTCTCGCACGCCCGAGCTACATAGACACGCTCGAAAGCGAGCGCCCGCTCCTCCTTCCCTCCTCTTCCGTACTTATCTCGCCTTTTTTTGTCACTCCGCATCCTCCTCTCTTTCGTACGTGTACCCATGCACATATATGTATACACCTCACTCCCCTTTTTAATCGAGATGAATCTCACTCTCTTCCTCCTCCTCCCCTTGTACCTTTCTTCTTCGCGGGAGAGAAGAGCCGCTCCGCGAGCGCGATCCTTCTGGCAAGGTCTCTCGCCAAGGTGTCTATTATACATCCATTAGGTACGTTGAACTTGTACTCGCCGGTCATTACCTATGTACGTTTATACATACACGAGCGAGTCTAGGTATGATCTCCATCAGCACACTGATGCCTCGAAGACAAACCCATATAGCTCTGCTCCTTCCACGCACACGTACGGATGTATACGCTCGCGATGGGTGTACCTAATATACTATACGTGTGTACACAAGTGCACGCGGCACGAAAGTGGGCCGCGACCTCGAAAAGGAGTCAGCCGGCTGGTCCCGTTATTAACGCGCGGAGGCTTCCTCCTCGAGTCGGTATCGGTGGCCGTCAGTCTTCACTCAACGGGCCCACGACGACGATGTTGTTGCAACTGGCTTTGGTCCTTGGGATCGGCTTCGGCTCGTTTCTGCCGATCGCGTTGCACCGACCCTTCGATGGCGACCGGTTGAACCTCCTGGCGCGAGCGTCCGGTGTGCTGGGACTGACGATCGCCGCGTTGCCCGGTGGACTAGCCTACGCAGGACAGAGGTCAGTTTTTGCTTGGGCCTTACCATCCTAATTGTTTTTTGCGCTTTGTTATACGCGTTCGTCGATCGGCAAGCTAAGAAATACAGTCCGGAAATGAGAGCCCCGCTTGTACGCCACATGCCGAAGCTCACGTACGACTTTCTACTTTTCGCCAGTTTCTTTGTCAACTATCTAGTCGGAAGGAACGGCGGTTTCTCTTTTTTGGGTCACAAAATTAACATTGTATAGCTGTCGATACTTGTGTTTATTGTAGCTTTCTTCGCGACAAAGGCAATAAAGATGACGGCTTTTTGGGCTGAATAGGATTTTGAACATCGTTTGGGCGACGAACCACCAAAGCTTGACGTACTTTTCACTGCAGGCTTTTGTGGTTTTTGAGTCGTTTAATTTTTTTCATGACTTCAAAATGATGTTTTTAAATAAACCACGGCAATAAGAAGAAGTCGTTATAATATATCCCCAATCACAATTCATTTTCGATTCTGTGAAGGTATATCTATGAATTTTTAGACATTTGGAAACGGTTATTTCTAACTGGACTACAAGCGATGAGAGTACAATGTTTTCACTCGACCTCGTGGGAATGAGTCGGGATTTTTCTCTACCCGATACTTTATGAATATATAATTCACCCGATTTTCAAGATGTAACTGTACTAAAGACGCGAGATGTTTTGATACTTGACCGTTCGCGGGTACAAAAACGTTTTGGATACTTTAAATAAACATCACAGTTGTGGAAGTTGAGATTTTACAAAAATAAACATCAAAGGACTTCTTCTGATGACAAGTTTATTAATTTGGTTGTCGAGACCTGCAAAATCATTTTATGTACATATGTATCCACAGGTACGTCCCGAAATGGAAGAAACAAGCCTGCGAAGCACCAGCGACCCAACACCCGGGCTCTCATTACGTATGCGATGAAGCCGGCGAAGTTAAATGTTTACCAGGTAATGGATACTTTTTTATAAACTTTTTATGTAACGTGGAAACATTAATATCACATCAGGTTTAAAAAACGTTAAAAAAAAAACATTTATTTCAAACAATTTTTAGTGTTTAAAAAACGGATGGTTTAAATTTATTACGTTAAATAATTATATTATATGATAATTTTACTAATGTTTGAAAATAATAAAGTATCGTATCACCATAATTGGAAACTATCAGAAAATAACTTGGTTCCACCCAATAGGTATTTTCATTGAAATGGCAACACAATATTCTAATTGAACTCATGATTGTATTTTAATAGTAGAGTAAAAAAATTAGCTCAAAATAAGATTTAAATATTCGATCAGTCCATCATGCAATCATGTATCGATAATACAAAACAGGAGAAGTAAATCCACCAAACAGTATGCTTAACTCAAAAACTTTATCGTAGAGAGTGCTCCCTTAAAAATGATTTATCCTCTGGCATTAGGTTGGACGGGAGACTTGTGCGACGTGCCAATTTGTCGGAAAGGATGTGACCCTCTTCAAGGATACTGCCGGCGGCCGGGTGAATGTCGCTGCAAGCTCGGCTTCTACGGGGAATTATGCGACAAATGTGTCCCCCTACCTGGTTGTCAGCATGGCAGGTATTTCACGTTCAAACGGCCATTTTATGATAAAAATTCTCCCTAGTCCCATTCTTCTACCCCCCTACCCCCATCCCCAACCTACCACCAAACTCCGTAACTAAGAGTTGAGGGAAGCCTTACATTATTCGCGAGCCACCTCTGACTTATGACGGGCCAAAGTGTACATCGATCTTCTGACTTTTTTTTCAAAATACTTTTTCATGGCACATGATAAAAAAGTCCTTGATGTATTTTAGGCAACTTTATTATGTTGGTATTTTTATTAAAATATCAAAAAGATATTCAAAAGAAAAATGTAATAGCTTCGTGACAAATATGCTAAACACCCACTACAGTCAAACTTTCACTTGCACAATATATCTGTGAGTGATACTTGTGTATTTCTTTCACTTTTCAGAGTCAATTAACCATTGACTTTGAAATTAATTTGTATTATTTTATGAAGTAGTGAAAATGTAACTGATTCTTTCTCAAAAGACTAATTGTTTAATATTTCATGGGCTTAAACAACAATGATATGGTTTGTTTAAGAGTAAGTCGTTTAAAATATATGGATATTTAATTTTATTGCATTTCATATACATGGATATAATTTTTTTTACATTTTAGTTGACATCAAAGTAATACAATCAAGCTTTTATAAGTGTAGTTGCTAATCAGAAGGTATTATCTAATTATTATGATTATACACAGTATAAATTTAATTTTTCCCTTACTGTAAATTTTAAAAAGAACATAATGATCAATTCTTTGGTTACAAAAAAAATATGATCAGTAAGCGGAGCCAACCATCCAGGTTGCTTACAATTAGTCCGATAAAGTGTACCGATGAGTACACTTTTGTCATTTAACCAGGCATCATATCTTTTCAATTCCTGCTGTTATATTATATTCTCAGCTTTATCATTCTTACTATTAATTAAACACCGTTTGGATGCAACATTCTTGCAACTGCAAATTTCTTAAATACGAAATTTATAAATACAAAATTTAAAAACCAAAAAAAATATTTTTGTAGTGCGTTACCACATGTTATTATCTTTGAGTAGGTAGTAACTAGAAGACAAGATAAGACGAAAAAGGTGTTGCCAGTGTCAATTATTAAAGTCCTTGACAGATTTTATTTAATTTTGGTAAAATAATCTAAGGCATTTATTTACACCACACAACGTTCCTTCTAGAGTAGTCTTTTATAATCCTGTCTTTTTGTTTATTTTCAAAACATAGAAAATTTTTCGTTGTGATTCATGTAATGTGAGTTAATATTATTTGAAAACTATTGCAAACTTGTCAATTTGTATAAACAACACCATATTAAACTTAATACTGAATATTTATGATTACGTAAATTATACTTGAAAGAAATACAATAACATAAAAAATCCGATATAAGAGTAGAAATCATTGTTATATTATAGACTTAACGAATATTTTTATCTATTTTTGTTTTTTCAATCCAAAAAATTCAAAATCTTTCAAAATTGGTTGAACCTTTGACTTCAAGTTTTATGTGCATCTTAACATCAACACAATTTAAAACCAATTTCTCTGGCATCATTAAAAGTTAACCAGTTATATTATTTAAAATAGTAAAGATATATGTATTCTACTAATGACTCTTCATAAATTTATACCGTTTCTGTCAATCAGTGATATTTTTTTTGTACGTTATTAGGAACAAATGTCAAAACGATTGCCAGTAGATTAAATCAATTTTCAGTTGGACCACATAACTAAAAAAAATTTTATTTAGTTTTAGATAGCTGTACAGTACTAATAAATAAAAACAAAAAAGCCATTTTTTAACCAGTAACACGTGCAATTACATCAAATTCGTAATTAATATAGATAAAGAGACTCTCCTCTTATTGGGGTGTAAGAGTATTTTCTTTACACTTAGAGAAATGTAATCTTATTAAGCAAAAGTGGTTACATGAATCAATATGTCTAGTAACTTTTAATTGAGTTTTAGTTACTATAAATGAACGATGATTTATAGTTTTTTTTTAAATTTTATGTTTGTTATCCCTAATAGATGCTTTATATTAATACAGCAATAATATAACAAAACAATAAAAATATTTAAAATAGACAACTATAAATCTAAGAATTGAAATACATCTTAGGAAAATAGTTTAAATATTTTTTAACTTATTTATTGTTGGTTTTATACGAACTGATTGTTATATTTTAAGTTGTAATGTATGAATACCAAGTGCAGAAACTAAAAAAAATTATTAGATACATACTACTCGCAGGCCAGAGTTCATTCATTGCACATTATATTGATCTAACATGCCTGAGACTAATAGTCAGTAGCTTTTGATTCCAACTTATAACTATGAATTTTACCACTGTAATTTTACAGCTTTATAAATGAAACTAACAGACGCACGTACAGTTATGAAAAATTCTTCTTACATTTTTTTGCGAAAGAGGTTTGTCACAAAGAACTTAATAAATTAAATGTTGCCTTAAAATCATAAGTTGCGACACCATTTCAAATTTAATTTTCATTCGTTCGCTATAAATTAAATATTACTCTTAGGGCCATAACATATGAAAATACCAAGTAAAGAAACTGAAACAAAAGCATTAAAGTGCATCTTATAAAAGTGTATGTAACATCCCTAAATTTTTACTTACACGACTGAAATATCGTATATTCCACGAATCCAATATGCCCGGAATAGATACAGTTAGTGGCTTCTGGCTCCGACATATAATAATTGACTTTATGAATACAATTTTACGGCTTTGTTCATACCACAGCGATGAATACACTGCCCATCCTATATCGTATCCCTGAAAAATTATTGTACCATTTAAACTGAAATAACTGAATAAAGTCTGATAAATTTTAGTTTTCAAGTTTACCATACCGATTGTGTCAAATTTTCTGTGCAGAATGATAATGTGTAGACTCTTGCTACCCCGATAAGAGTGTCAGTCATAAACATTAAACGTACTATCATTGATGGCTCAGGCTGTTAAGCAATTTATTACATATTACTGTTCAAACACATATTTATTTTTATCAATAAAAAGTTAAACTCACAGTAAACATTTTCAAACCTACAACGATAAATAATACAAATGAAGTGGCAATTGACTTAATAATAAAAAAATAAGCCAAGGAATTAGTTTCTGTAAGGTACCTAAAAACAAAATTTCTTTATTTATGTTTTTTTTTTTTTAATTTTTACCCTCAATACATGGCTAGTCAAATGCCTATTACCATCAATTCATTTTAGTATCCCAAACTGAGTCATTTACTTTTTTAATATTATTTAGGCTTGCCTTACTCCAATTTCATTACTATTTTACACCACAAGTATTTTAAGAACGTGAATAACAATATTTGTTTTATATAATTGCAAGTCTTGCAAACACCAAAGTCAAAGGAAAAATTTTATAAATAATACATTCCATGGATATATTGAGCTCTTACTCTTTAACCATTCATCGAGGATACTAACGTGTATATAATTTAATGTTTAATGCTTACCGTATGATTAATTGATGCTTATATATACAATGAGCTAAGTCATTTAAATCTTTTGAATCTCTAATTTCTTCTGCGAGTACTTTCAATTCAATTTTTGCCAAGAATATGATCATCACAATTAGTGAATCCAGATAAATAATACATACAGAAAATATTATAGCAACAAACTGATGTATGTATATTAAAGTCCACACCAACGATGACTTTGTAGAAAATGGGTATTAGCATAATAATGGAAATTGCACGGGGACACTAGATATTGATGTATACATAACCAGGCAGGCTACCATTCCTCCACTTACGTACATTGTGACAAACATCAATAAATAGTATTTACCACGTTTGTGTATTATTTTTCTTTTTCGATTATCTGTACTTGAGATAATATCTTCAAAAATTTCTAACAATCTCTAAAGTAATAAGAATAATTTTCTGGTCTTAATTTAGTTGTGAATTATAAATAAGTTACCATTTTTATATTCCATAAGAAATTATCACGTAATCTTACCTGTAGCTGAGTTCTTTTGAATTTTGAAAATAATAATATTGATATAATGTCACAAGTGAGAAATAACTCTACGCCACATCTCAACACTTTAGATAAGTCCGATTTATTGTAATACAAGAAAAAAGACATTGAAATTAAGACAATAAGTTCATTGATAAAATGAAAAGTCCAAACACATTGATGTGTTAGTTTTATGAATTTTGAAACATTTTTCTCCAGTGGGTAAATGGTATAAAATCTTCCTAAACATTTATATAGCCGAAAATTAAGTAACAGAGTGAAAAGCCTCATTAAATTATTTTTCAATGCATAAAACTTATGAGTAAATAACTTTTCAGTTTTTTTTAATACACGCATCTTCAGTTAAATTTGTATTTAAATATGCAAAATTAAAAATGCTCTATTTTACTCAAATACTTTCAGGCTGTACTTTTGTATTTATGCGAATAACATATTTTTATGTATATGCTATTGCACCAAGCCTATTTTTAAAAATAAATATACATTTTTGCATCCACACAAGACTTAAACAAACAAGTTCTATCAACGTTGTTCTATTATTTGAAGCAAACTACAAGTAATTACTCCCAACTCATTGAAACTAGGAAAAAACGTTATTTTTCTCATATTCCAAATCAATACACCAATTATATTGAAGCATTAAGCTTGTAATATGTGTAATAATATAAATAAAGATGATCTATTGTATGAATTTCGATGAGCTTGCTTGATGATATAAGTAAAATTATAACTGAAACAATAACTAAATAAGTTAAAAAATTACTAATACGATTTCATCAAGTTGTTCATGAAGTATTATCTTGTTTTGATATCCCTAATGGATAATTTAATTTATAGTTTTCGATATTCATTTCGAAAATATGTATCGATCGTGACTTTCACACCAAACTGTATTATTTTCAAATAAGTACGTGCTTGATAAATTTGAAAACAATTACTTTTGATTCATTAAAATTTTAA